GGGGGGGGGGGGGGAAAAACTCCTTGTTTCCCCTGCCATATCTGGCTCACAGGGAAGAGGTGGAGTCTAATTGGAGTCTGTAAAGTGCTTTGAGATCCTTTCACTGAAAGACACAATGCAAATGTGATTCCCCCAGAATTCCTGTTTGATTACATGCAGCGACTATAAAATAAAATTGTACAGGGTTTATTAAAACATTAAAATATCTGTAAAACAACTTTGTTGACCTATATACACTGGGTATTTGAAAAATACAAATGATTAGCATGCTGTGTAAGCATATTACTTGGGTAAATACAATATGATAGCTTTCAAATGATAGCATCACCAATAAAACTACACAGATAGAGTTAAAAATAAAAGCAAAGGTGAGAAAAATAATTTCAGCACACGCTAGATGTTTATCTATAATATATAAAGGAGAATGTTGGTATGCTTGTGCACTAATAACTTGGACACTGTAAGAGCTACCGCAACAAGTGTGATATGTTTGCGTGGAATAACCTTTCATCCAGGTTTTAAGGAACTGTGGGAGGGAAGAAATGCGAGACCGATGCCTCTCCCCGGGGCTGCACGGAGTTTGTCAGTGTGGGGAGAAGCGGCTTCCCAGAGGAAGCGGCGGGGAGAGTCGCCCACTAAGGACGGCGGAGGGATAAAACCTTCCCCTGGATGACAGGTTAAGGGACTGTGGGAGGGAAGAGATGAGAGACCAAAACCTCTTCCCAGGGCTACACGGAGCTTGGCAGTGTGGGGAGAAGTGGCTTCTCAGGGGAAGTGGCAGGGACAGTCACTCACTAAGGCCGGTGGAGGGACAAAGAAGCGGAGGGCGGGCTCGGGTGCCAGCGGCAGGCACGCGGCTCTATTCCCCCTCCCTCCGATCAGGCTCCTCACCTCAGTTATATCAACTTTCCTGAGCAACACCGGGTAACTCCAGCTAGTCTAATATATAAAGGAGAATGTTTGTAAGTTTGTGCACTAACTTGGACACTATACAAGCTACCGCAACCAAACTTTGCATGGGATAACCTTTCATCCAGGAGAAGTGTTTAAGGTACTTTTGGACCCAATCAGGCCCGAGCTCAATCTGTAAAAATCAAAAAGTAACCCACCGCACTATGTTGCAGGGGCCGTCCCGCTCACCCTAGGTCCTGTGCCCACCACCTGCAGCCCCCAGCGCCGTCCAAGACATAAGCGACCCTCTTCTCTCCTTCCCCACCCCCCACCGCACCGACATGCAGTGCCCTGACCCCCACACGCACTACGGCTCAGGCACCTGCCCTGCCTCCTGCGGCACCTGCAGCCCTGGGCATGAGCTGGGGCGTCCCTCCCATGTGTAACTTCCCCTCCACCTGGGGTCGCTCCTCCTCGCCCCCCGCCTGGGGATGACGCAGACCTATATTTTAATCCCTATAGAAATAAGTGCAACTTTTCTACCATTCAAAAAAAGATAATGGACTACTGTTTTTCTACATTTTGTTCCTCTGGTTTCCGGAGTAACGCCGGGTAACTCCAGCTAGTTCATAAATATTGCTAGGCCCAGCCTACTGTCTTAGAGCTGAATAAAACATTCACAATATAACCTGAAACCATGTGAAATGCCATTGTTTTGGGGGTTTCTTAACAAATTTGGATCCTGATCCTAGAAGTGCACACACACACGTTTAACTTTACTGGCATGAGTCCCCTAGGTAATGGGACTTTTCACAGTAGTAAAGTTGACTACATGCACACGTGTGTGCAGGTTCATGACCTCACAACCCAGCCCAAATTAATGTAAAGACCTGTTGTGAACCTTCTGAGCCTACCTATTGCTTCTCATTGGTTTGAAATTATGCATTTAGCAGCATCACTTTAGCTGGTACTGTTCAAAACACAAACAGCAGCCAGCCCAAAGAGCTCTCAGTAGAAATGAGACTACAGGCCTATCCACATTGGAATAAAAGGGGTATATTTACACATGAGCTAACAAGTGTCTAAATCCAAAGGGCCACAAGGCAACACTGTAAATTGTATTTTAACATGTGTTAATTAGTTGAGGTGAACCCTACGCTATAGATGCCCTCCTCCACTACCCTCGTATTTAAAAACATGTTTAGAACACGTGCTAGCTTAGCTACTTCTAAAAAAAATGAAACTCATCATTTCATACTTGCAGTTGACAAAGCGCCTTGGAAAATCCAGAGGCGCTCTTTTAAAGGTTCCACTTTATTTTAATAGCGTGATCGCGGAACTTGTAGGCGTGGCTAAAGCCGTGCGCGCTTGTGGGTGGGATAGGAAGAGGAGAGCCGTGGGAGGCGGCACAGATATCCGCCCACGTGCATGGGGCAGAGGGTTCAGCCAGACATGGGGAGCACTGCAGCAGCTTGAGGCTCATCTGCGCCCCAGGCGGCGGGGGGAAGGAAGAACCTCCCAATCCCGGCTGGCCCAGAGCCCCAAGTTCAGGGCAGAGCTGGGGCAGGGATCGGGCGTGCAGCTGATATTCGGGGCAGGCTGGTGCCTGCGGGAGGGCTCCGACCCCGCAGCGATTATGGCTGAGCCGGGGGAGCAGGCTCCGTCCCCGCAACGCGGGCAGCCCGGGAGTCCCCGCCAGCGGGCGGGGGAAAGAGCAGGGGCTGCACCGGCAAGGCCCTAGCAGCGGGCACCCACCTTGCGGCTCAGCAGGCGGGACTGGCGCTGCTTCTCCGCCTCGCTCAGCGCCCTCAGCCGCCTGCTCAGCTCCGC